AGGTGGGGAGGGAATGGGAGGGGAGGGGAGGGGGTGGAGGAGAGAGACAAATTAATTGATGAGTTAGTTTGGGTTTAGTAAAAGTGAGGTGGGGTAGGGTGGGGGCGAAGGATTAGATAAGGTAAGATGAGGGAATTTTTTCTTGTCTGTACAGGACCGTAAAACACATGCAGGTAAATAATATAGTCGCTTTTAAGGACAAGCCGGCTAACCCAGATTTCGAGGGTTTCCAGAAATCTTGACCTACACCAAAAGTTAGCATTGCCCTACCAAAAGGAGAAGTTTGGTTTAATTGGTGTATATTATATTTGTTTGGTTATAGAGAAAAGTCTCCTTGTCTTTAAAGGAAACTGAACAAGGGACAAAAACTTTACCTTCGATTTTTTTTTTCCAAACAGCTTTTTTCGGGATAGCCCCATTGTGCTTAAAAGCGACCATATAGAAATTAAATTATACATTACTCTCATTATAATCTAATATGAAAAGAAAGGTAAAGCTCACAAAATTTACAAATCCCATCACATGCATCAATCAACAACATGCAGGAACTTACTTGCAAGACCTGAAGAGTTATGTATAGATACATACTCGAAAGAGCAATACACTTTGATTTTTATTCTGAGAGTAGCCTTATGCTGCATGGTAAAAAAAAAAACTTCTTTTGTATCTTTCTTTCTTTGTTTTTAGAGGTACGTATCTAGATTGATAAAAATTGTGACGAGAGAGGGAGAGAGTTGAAAAGTTCTAACCCCAAACTATATCAAATTATAAAAGATTACTGCACATTTTAAGCCAATGTACTGATTACTTAAACTCCAGGAAGTTGTGTTATGCCGCGGTGGAATCAGGCGTTCGTCAATTTTTGGGCATGTGGCGTTATTGGCATCGGCTTAAAGTTTGTTCATTTGTCTTGCTTTCGGTAAAAACAATACCAACCTATCTTTTTAATTAAAATGTGAGATAATTACGATTGAGGAGGTAGGGATCGCTCAGTTACAGAGGTAACATTAGCGAGGAAAAAACACCTGAACAACTAAACAACATCATAAGCCCACTGGGGTGGGGGGTG